AAAAATGAAAAATGAGTACAAAAATGCGCGTTTTAATGATGACATGAAAGTATTATTTAAAATAGGTAAGTAAAATAGAATCTAGTTAAAAATATAATTAAATTTATTTAAATCTTAAAGCAATTACATTGTTGTGTTGTTTTATAAATGGACATACTTAAATGTTTCTTCTTCTTGATGCGTAAACTTTTATTTGCAAAAGTATCTTTTCAACTTAGCACAATTAATTCTTTTTCTGTTTTTATCTTTTCTGCCTTTTCTTTGACCTAGTTTTCTCATTAAATTTTTTTAATAATTTGCTGACTGGTTAAAATATAAAGATCAACTTTTTGAATCTTAGTATTTTATTCAAATAACTCTGGCAGTTAAAAAACATCCAGTTTAACATCAATTAGACTCTAAATGATATTAAAGAAAAATTTATTAATTTATAGTTCATCATAGTCAAACATAGTCATCCAATAAGTTGATTAAATTGAAGAAAATAATGGCTGAAATATGGATATTAAAAAAAAGAACTTCCTCAACTTTATTCAAGATTTGTTTTAGAAGGAAACAACAATAAGCATTTTAAAAAAATAGTTCATTGAGTAAAGTAGCAGCTAATATTGCAACAGATATTATTAGAATTTCTTTTAAAAAATTTATGACTTTTGTGAAAATCAATTATTTAAAAGTAATTCTAAATTAGTGTTGTTTTGAAAGTAACAACAGAACATTTCTTATTTTTATTTATAACCGTATTTTCTATAGTATTTTCTATATATATATATATATATATATATATATATATATATATATATATATATATATATATATATATATATATATATATATATATATATATATATATATATATATATATATATATATGTATATATATATATATATATATATATATATATATATATATATATATATATATATATATATATATATATATGTATATATATATATATATATTGAATCTTAGTATTTTATTCAAATAACTCTGGCAGTTAAAAAACATCCAGTTTAACATCAATTAGACTCTAAATGATATTAAAGAAAAATTTATTAATTTATAGTTCATCATAGTCAAACATAGTCATCCAATAAGTTGATTAAATTGAAGAAAATAATGGCTGAAATATGGATATTAAAAAAAAGAACTTCCTCAACTTTATTCAAGATTTGTTTTAAAAGGAAACAACAATAAGCATAAAAAGCGATTTTAAAGTGGTAGAAAATCACTAAACGAATTTTTATCTAAATAATTGATTTCAAAAGTAGTCCAATTAGTTTGCCTAATAGTAAATTTAAAAGCGATTTTAAAGTGGTAGAAAATCACTAAACGAATTTTTATCTAAATAATTGATTTCAAAAGTAGTCCAATTAGTTTGCCTAATAGTAACAAGATAGTTAAGTAAATAGTTTAAAATTAAAACAGTTACACAGGGCGCTATTAGTTAGAAGTTAAATCAACATGTCAATTTTAACAGCTTCACAACTAAAAACATGTTCATTTGCCTATATTTTGAGGAAAAGCAAAAAACTTTGCTAAGACTTTCTTACTTCTTTAAAAGTCTTTAAATAGAGTGTCTTTGAGAATCTGTTACTTGGAGTATCTTTGAAAAAAAAATTCTTTTCCTCATCAAATACACACTTTCAAATCATTTCATATCTACATAACCAAAATTGGAACAGCTGCAAGCTAAACTTTTATGAACATAACTGTAAAATATTAACGTATGCAAGCCTACAGAATAGCATAATAGTTATTGTTGCTGTCGAAATTTCAGAAAAAAACACTCAAGAAAATATGGTGAAAAAATGATAATTGATAAACTTGTAACAATTAATTCATCTGATAATATTAAATCAATAAACCGTATATAAACACAAGCTAAACATCTGCACATTTAACTACTAACAATTTTCCAGCTTCTTTTACAGTTGAATTTGACACTGTAGAGGCATGTAATGAAATAGTTGTTTTAGCAATTAACTAAGCAAACTCAAACACCAAAGAGTTTTTTATTAGACATGACCTTACCCCAAGTTAACTTTAGTTAACTTTATAAAACTGAACCTAGAAAAGAAGAAACTTTTTGAAAAATTTTAGGCCAATTTTAAAAATACATTACTGGAAGGACTTTAATCACAATCCGGTGTTTTTTTTTGAGCTCAATCTAGCCTACAAAAAGAATAATCCAAGAAGATTTTTTGCCTACATTGAAAGCAAAAGTATCTCATCTGATCTTACTCAGAAAAACAAATCTGGTTTTATTCAAGATTGCGTGCTAATGTTATTGTTGGTAATCATATCTACACATTGCGCTGTTTGTTGTAGTGAAAGTGTTTTGATTTCCAAAACACTGAATAAAGTATTCTAATATGTACATCCAAATCAAAGTTTACCTCTGTTCCTTAAAGTGCTTTTCTCTTTAACATTTCAATCGATTATAATTCTGTTCTAATTTACCTAAAGGCGTTTACAGCTACAAATTAGTATTTAAAAAATGCAACAAATGCAGTTCTGCTTTGAATTAGTACTTAAAGAATGCAACAGTTGCAGTTTTGCTTGCCATAATTTTTCAAATGTAAATCGAACAAGAAATTTTACCAAAGGCTTTGCTTGTAGCAAATGTAACTCCATTGTTCAAAATTGGCTTGAAAATTAACCCCACTAACTGAAGACCAATTAAAGTCACCTTTATACCATGTAAAACAATGGAAAAAGTTATCAAAAAAATATATGTATTATTTATTATCTAACAATCTTCTTTCTGAATGTTACAAGTCTACTTGAAACTATAGATTTCTTGACTTATGCTGCATCGCGTAAGCTTTCTGTTGATGTTTTCTTGATTAACCTTCGCATTTGAATATGTTCAACACAAAGGTTACTTAAAAATATTAAATTGTATATAATTTGAGGCAAAATCTTAAGCTGGATAATTTTCACATTTTATCAGGATAGGAAAAAGTTACTAAATGCGTTCCGCAAAGCTCAGGTGTCAGCCCAACACTGTTTATAATCTATATCAATGACCCGCCAAAACACATTGGCAACAAAAACATTTGCAAAATCTATGACAATGAAAAAAAGTTCTTATTTATCTCCTAATAACGCAAACTTTTTCTGCAAGCTAACAATAATATTATTGTCGATTGGCCATATTGCCATGCCTTATTGTCTATTTCAAATACAAACTAGATAAGAAAACTATATAGTTATCACAGTTCATCATTTCTCTAAATTTCTGCACTTTTGCAGCTATATGAACAAGCCTTTTAGCTAATGATGAGCTTACTGTTCAATTTTGTTTTGTGCTACTTAAATTTAACAATAAGAGTATTAATTAGTTATGAGCATAAAGGGACTTAGAAACTTTGAAATCAGACCTTAAAAAATTTTAAAGTGTAAGTGATAAGTAATAAAATACTGAAAACAGATCACGTATTTTTTTGTTTGATTCAAAATACATTTACAAATATGAGAAATCATTTTTTCATGGAAAATGTTTTAAAAAAAAATTTCTTTATTTATCAAAAGTTCTCTTAATCTTCATGGAAAAATGCAACAACAAGAGAAAAACAGAGTATGTTTAAAAACAGAAATAGACTCTCTGGCAAGATATCTGGCAGGGTATAGCACTTGTACACAAGAATTACGAATTTGAAGGAAATTTATAAAAATCACTTGAATATTAAACAAATAACTGTAAAGATTCTTTCCTAGGCAAAAGGATTTATGTTGGAAAGTATCTTCACATTATATAATCAATAAGCTTATCAGAGGAAAGTATTTTTAAAGTTAAAACTGTTATTCTTATTGTTAAACCCTTAGTCTCATTGAAGAGCTCTCACATGTGGTAATATCGTCGATAAAACTAATGATGTTTTGGATTAAAGCAGTTATTTTTAACATTTAGATAGGTGTCAGATCAATATAAAGTACATAAAGGTTTTATAGATCTGTATGAACGTAAAAAGACTACATTTAGATTTTTTAAAACAAATTATATTGATGCCCAACAAGCCTGACACAGCATACAATCAATAAGAACACATTTGGGAACTCTTCGCTGTGAAGAAATGTTTAAATTAACTTGTTTATATGTTTCATCTGATGCAACTAAGCCAGACTTTTAGGGAAATCTAGTGCTATCTAGTAATGCAATGCAATAAAGACCTCCTTCAAAATATGAAGATGGTTTAGCACTTTGAACTTCTTTGGAAAATAATTTAGGAAATCAATTTTAAGTATCATAGAACTTCTACTTTAAGAAATAACAAGACGGTTTGATCAGAAAAGTTTAAACGTATTATATATTATTGAGCAGGTACTCAAAGGATCATTTAACGTATGTGTTATTACTCCTGAAAATTTAAATTATTTGTATAGTTACGAAATAACATTTCATATTTTAGGTGCTTAATAGAAAATGTTACCTAGTTTATTGAGATTTCACACCTCAAATGGCAGATGATAAAAAATATCAACGATTGTTTAAACCTTATTGAATTTAAATATTAGCATACTTTTTGCCGAAAGTGATAATTTGTTGAAAATATATTTAACTGTATCAATGTCAAATGTTAATGCAGAAAGTAAAAACTTATTTTTAATGTAAAATGACGCAGGCGCGCTTAAACCACCGACTATTTTTTCATGTTCACAGACCATCGACAGGCTTCATCAATCTTACTTGTGTTGCCCAACATTTTGCTATGGAAAATTAACTTAATATTTGATATAAATAATGTATAAGGTTTTATTTTTATTCTGAATATTATGAGCACTCTATTTGTAATTTTTGATGAAAATATTAAAAAAAATATTACTTAACACTGTTTTTTAGAATTGGGTTTGGAATTATAATTTAAAGTTAAAGCAATAAAGCCACATAAATAAGTTGCTATTGAAACAGTTTATATAAATTTATTTTAATTTATGAGCCAGTTATTATAAGAGAAGATATTCAAATGAATTGCGTTTTTGTATTATTCATTAGGTAGCTTTGCCTTGGTTGATGGTAAAACTTTGAAGGTTGTTGGTAATTGGGAAAAAGTGGGTGATCAAGTACCATTTGGATATGATTTTTGGTATAAACCTCGGCAAAATGTTATGGTTAGTTCTGAGTTGGGATCGCCAAAATGTTTCATGACTGGTTTTAATCCGTCTCATGTTGCTGAAGGTTTTATTTATCTTATATAAAATTTAATAAATCATTTTTTATTTTCTCCCTTTGTTTGTAATTGCAAAAATAATCTGTTATTAAAAGTAGCACAATACGTTTTATAATTTAGGAAAGTATGGCCATTCTCTCCACTTTTGGAAGTGGAAAGAACACGAATATATCAAATCTATAGATTTAGGTGCAGATGGCCAAATTCCTTTAGAGTTACGCTTTTTGCACAACCCAGACTCGTCAGAAGGTTTTGTGGGATGCGCACTTAGCAGCAATATATTTAGAATCTTTATTAACGATGTAAAAACATTTTTTTGTTTTAATAAAGTTTATTTTAAACTTGTAAATATGAAAAGCCAGGACTTTTTTTATACAATTATTTTGTTTTACTCAAACATCTTAAAATAAGTGTCTCTCACGTCAGGGGCACAATTAAACACAAAACAGTATGCATAGCTGCAATAATTGGTTGCTTTCTCAAGGTATTCACAAAGGTTACAGAAACACTGACCTATATGAATACCTATAACATGTCTCCACTGCCTATGAATCATAAGAAAGTTAAAAGAAATCTACCTAGCTGAAATTTTGTTAAGAATTCTTTGAACATACTTTTTACAATTTTTTTAGAAAAATGAATGGGATGCAGAAAAAGTCATAGACGTTCCATCTGTTAAAGTTGAGGGTTGGGCATTGCCTGAAGTACCTTGTAAATTCTATTTTTTTTTTTATTAATAATAAGAGTGAATTTTAGTTAATTTTACAAGTAATTTTTTTTTTTTTCTTGTAGCTCTTATAACTGATATTTTAATTTCCCTTGATGACAAATATCTTTATTTTTCTAATTGGCTTCAAGGAGACATTCGCCAGTATGATATTACTGATACAAAAAATCCTAAATTAGTTGGTCAGGTAAGTTAATGCGTATATTATACAAATTATAATAATTTATATAATTTTATTATGACAATTGATTCGTTGTAATGACATCGCAAATAGCCAAGGTGTTCTTTTTACGTTATAAAGGCAAAAAAAAATGGAAAAAAGGAAAAAAATGAATTAAAAACAAAGTTTAAAGATTCAAATAAATAAAAGAATAAAAAAATATATATATATTTTTATGTTTCTTAACTAGTTTTATAAAACTTAACTATATATATAGTAAAGTAAAAAGAAAATTAAAATGAAACAAAAATATTTTAATGTTTCGTAAGTATTTTTATGTAACTTTTCACTATATATAGTAAAGTAAAAAAAATGTTTGAAAATGAAAAAAATTTTTAAAGCAGATTTTTTGTCCATTAAAAAAAGCTCAGTAAAAGAAAAATAAAAATAATTTTTTAATTTTTATTAATTTAGTACCTTGTTTCTATTGGCATGTATATTTGCGTATTGTTTATATGTCGCATATTTTCATGTATTAATTATGTTGAAAATTATAAATGTTGTATTATCCTATACATTCATTTTTTCTTAAGTCGTCGGATCCATTTATTCTCTTTTTTGTTAGTCTTGCTTTTTTATTATTATTGTTCCGATAAAACGACTTTCTTATTTTTATTTTAGTTTACCATCTTTATTACTTCTGTTTCAATCTTTTTTATTTTTAAATTATTTATATTGGTCTTTTATAAAATAAAACCGTTTTTTTTTTTTGTTTTTTTTTTTTTTAATTTTACTAAGGAGTCACTCTATTGACTACTTTTTAATATTTTGAGCGACAGCAAACCCTGCTAGCACACATACGTTGTAAAAACATTAAAACAATGTCACGCTTTTCGTTGGCCCAACATCGGCTGTCAATATTGTTTTTATATCATTATAGTTACTAATGCGACGTCGCTAACAATCATTATCATTATTACATTCTATTATCATTACTACATTCTATTATCATTATCATTATCATTACGTTATATATATATATATATATATATATATATATATATATATATATATATATATATATATGTATATATATATATATATATATATATATATATATATATATATATATATATATATATATATAACTAAAAATATATGTATGTATGTATGTTTATGAATAAATTCAGCTGACGTAAGCAATATATTTAAATGCATAAGATAAAATTGCTTGATCATTGAAACAAAAATCGAGTTTGTGTTGATTGTGGTTTGATATTTTAAACATTACCGAAGATTTTATTTAAGTTATACAATTTTGCAATAGCATTGTTTGGTTGCATACATTGGATCAACGTTGGGTTTAGTTCGTAAAAACAATCAATTTTTTGCGATGTATTTACATGCATTGGATCAATGTTAATTTATATACATTGAATCAACGTCGAAATTTATACATTGGTTCAACGTTGGGTTTAGATCGTTAAAACAATCAAATCTTTTCAATGTTTTTTCATACATGGGACCAATGTAAATATGCCAGATATTTTTAGTTCCGTTGGTAATATTTTTATCATTAACCAAATGACACTGGATCAACGTTGGTATTACATCGGATAAAAGAGCCGACGTTTGCGATGGTTTTAAATACGTTGGCCCAATGTAAGTGTGCTAGCTGGGAACCTTATTTTAAAAGATATATTTAATTTTGTAACTTTTAATATTAAAAAAAAAAAGCAAATTAAAATACATTTGAATTAGTTTGGTATTTTGATAATAAATAAAAAATTAAATTTTTTATAATTTATTATCAAACAGTTATAAAGCAGTTATACAACAGTTATAAAATAAGATTTAGAAGCAGTTGCACAATAAACACTGTTTATTGTGCAACTGCTTTTAAATTTTATTTTATAACTGTTGAATGCTGTTGAATGCAAACGAGCCACTAACTGTTGTATGCGCGATTAACTGTAAAATGCTAATTGTTTTTAGGTATTTATTAACGGCAGTTTAGCAAAAGACTCTTTTGTTAAAGTTTTAGATGAGAACTTTAAGCAACCAGAACCAATTTTTATTAATAACAAAAGAGTTGAAGGTGGTCCTCAAATGATTCAGTTGAGCTTAGATGGAAAGCGTTTATATGTTTCCACCTCACTGCTTTCAGTTTGGGACAAACAGTTTTACCCGAATATGATGATGTTAGTATCATTTTTACTATAACAATGTGATTATTTGAAACTATCAAAATGCTGCCTTTTAAATTATACTTGATATGTATTATTTTCTTTTAAATTTACATTAATAAAACAAATTTGTTTTACATTTAGAATATTTTTTTAATATTTGTTTCGTTCATTGCAGGAGTGGAAGTTTTGTGTTGCAAGTTGATGTAGATGTTTTAAATGGTGGCCTAAAATTAAATGAAAATTTTTTCATCGACTGTGGATTAGAGCCTGATGGACCAGTTCTTGCTCATGAAATTCGCTATCCGGGTGGTGATTGTTCATCAGATATATGGTTGTAACTTAGTGAAGTGTTATTATTAACAGTTGTATTTGTAAAACGGTGTCTCTTTGTATTAAAAATTTGATATGTATAAACTGTTATAATAAATTTTTTAAATTTTGCATAATTTTGTTTACCTTCGTTTGTTATGCAATTTTTTCAAAGTCATAATACTTTACCTTTTTTTTTTTTAATAACTTTTAAAGAATCATTCTGCATATTTATAATTCTGTATATTTATAATAAAGCTGTTCACTTAACTAGTGCAATGTTCTACACATTTATAAATATTCTAAAGGTATGTATATTGTATGTAAGACTTTATAAATAATCTTACCATAAGATACATAATAGGCCTAAACTACGTTACTTATGCTCTAATTTTTCTTTTATAATTTTTTAACACTAGTTTTCAATTTTTTTTTTTTATTAATAAGTTTTATAAAAAAATGATATAAAAATTAAAGCCTATTTGAAAATCGATATTAGAAATAAATAACTTTTAAAATTTTTTTACAAACAAAATTTATTTGGTGTAAAGTCATATAATTAAGTCTGTGCAATGACATTTTTAATGAGGCTAATGCATTATATAGCCGCACAAGCATCGATACAACAAAAAAACATATTTAAAATGAATTTTTTTGATTTGAGATTGTAAAAGACATTACTGCCTACGTTTTGGAGTCTAATAATTGTCAATAAGCAATAAACAAGAAACTATAAGTTGAAATATGTTATAAAGGATATCAACTCAAAAAGTTAACATTTAAGAGATTGGGATTGAAATAACTCAACTCCCAAAAGTAAATGGTAATAAATATCTGGTAGTATTAGTCAATTAGTATTAGTCAATTATAGCAAATTAGTAGAAGCTGACCTTCTTTTTGATAAACAAGCAAAATCTGTTGCATTATTTTTGTATAAACAAATATGTAGGTACAGATATTTATAAAATACAGGTCAACGATCATGTCCGTCAATTTGTAAATTAGCTGTTTAATAAAATCTCAGAAAAACTGGGGCTCGTCAACGTATGACGAGTATTTAACATCCACTAGCAAAATTTAAGTTTAGCAGAAAGCCAGGTTTAGTCGAAGTTCAAAATCTATTATTATCTAACAAATTTATCTTTGCACAAATAGAAATCCCAAAATAACGACAGTATTCAACTATTAAATTATCAAATAATAATGATGTAAAACTGAACGAATTATTAAAGACGTTGAGTCCAGCAACAAATATGATAATATTCAAGATGAAAATAGTGTAGTTGCTTGAATCAAAGAAAAATCAAAATTTGCAACACATGGTAAAGTCAATTGCAGAAAGATTGGGAAGTGTGGATCTGTTGTATCAGCTTCGTTTATTAAGGTAGATATCCAAGTATACAGCAAATACGGTGCGAAAACAAAATGGATGGTTTACCAAAGTAGTAAACGTCTTAATAAGTTATGTAATTATACTATAGTATAATTACATATTTGCCTAGAAATACATATATATATATTTCTAGACAAAGTAACATGATGCTGTGATTAACAGTTGAAAATCTAGTACATAAACTTATGTATTTATTTTACGAGTTTAAATTATTTACGATATGTCGATATCTCGAATACTTGATATCTCGAGCTTTCGAGTATTTCGAACTTTTTTTGTAGTTTTTTCTGCATAACGTATTTGTTTAGCTTAAATCCCTTATTAAAATACAAATTGTTTTTATCTATATCTATTCATAATAACTGTGTTTCTTTTGTTAGTTTTATATGTAACAAGTATTATTATTTTTTGTGGTGTTAATTAAAGCTTGCAGTTTTAAGAAACTAGTGTTTATAGATTTCCTTTTTTTTCTAGACTAACTTAAAAATTTTGTTCCACTTAAATTTAAATCTTAAGAATTTTCACTTTTGTTCTGTTCGCGGTGTCTTTTTGTGTCTTTTACTAACACGATAGGTCTAGAGCAGTAAAGTAGAGCTATTATATTAACTTGGAAAACTGCGTTCGTTCAAAAAAAATTCTAATTTGTTTTTAATAACGATCTTCCTTCTATATTCCTAAACTGCCAGAGTTGTCTAGATATTTTCTACAATTTCACTTAAACACTCTAAAAGTTCAAGAAACTTCTAAAATTCTAGAGAAACTCTCAGAACTCTCTAAAAAGCTCTTGAATGTTCCAATAATTCCTGTACAAGTATAAAGCCACAGATGCCTTGAACCAAGATTCAAATTTATGTTAATGCATAATGAAAGGATAACAATTCGTAGTTAAAAAGAAGTTATTTATTTGATATGGCATAAAGAGATTGTTTGCATCCAGCTGATTCATTCTGCTACTGGTACAAACAATTCATAAAGGTAAGAGCGATAAAGTTTTCCGTGGTTGTATAATGTGCGAAACCTATAAAGCATACTTCAGCGTGCTGGTCGGGGAAATAGAAAAATTTTAAGTAAAGCTTTCCACATGCAACTATCGCAAAAAAATAACGTAAAGGTAAACTGAACATTTTTTTCTTGCTTAGGTGAATTAATTTTATTTCATTAAATTTTAATGCTCTTGATCTAACTCATTTCAATTAGTAATTTTAAAGTGTTACCGTAAGTCGTATACTATGCATTATTATGTGTTATATTACAGCTTGGTTGAGAAGCAAGCTATAAAATTTGTTATCCCACGATTTGGTAAGAGCCGATGGACCACTCAAGGAACTGCTACTTTTGCATGATAAACACTAAAAATTTTTGCGCCGGCAAAAATGACTCTCAGATCATTTATCCAGACATACCTTCTTCCATTGCCTCAGTACCACATAGCCCCAATTTGTTAAAAATAATAAGAAAATCTGAAACGGGAGCCGCTGTAAAAATCTCATAAAATGCTTATGCTACCGCCGCACATCACTTTAGGCCCGATTAAGCAGTTTGTCACAGCTCTTTATAAGGGATTAGCAGTATTTCAACACCTCCAAGATCTTTTTCCAAAGTTGTTTGAGGTTAAGGTTAGGTTTGGTATATTCGTTGGACTACAGATCAAAAAGATCATAGAGTTTGAGGATTTTGCATTAGCTGTTGAACAGGTTGGAGAGAGCGACTTGGAGAAATTTTGCTGCCGTCTTGCGGGGCTTTCTAGTTAATCACAAAGCTGAAAACTATGTGGAGTTAGTGCAGACACTCATAAAGAATTACGTCATTATAGGATGTAGAATGTCTGTTACTCCGAGGAGCAGGGCGAGCTTTTTTTATTAAGATATATTAGATATTAACAATCGTTACCGAGGACAATATAACAAATACATGATGGGGAAAATTTAAGGGCTACTTCGAGAGAATGACTAACAGTAAAATTTTAAATGTAGAAAATCTAAACATTTCTAATCCTTGTTGAGTGGTCTATTCCTTGTGCAACTTATGTTTTTACCTAATCATAATGACAAAAAAAAAAAAATCTTTATATTTTTACAAAAAAACGACTTCATTAAGCAAAGTTTGTGCTTAATAAAGTCATTTTTTTGAAATACTTTAGACATAAGCAATCGAAATATAACAATTATAGCCAGGAACAAAAACTAAGTTACATGGCGTAATTGACCTTTCCTAAAAAAGTGAAAAATTCAATTTATTAATTAAAAAAAAAACGTTTACATGAATATGTCACGTTTTTTAAGATAAGTTCAAAAGTTTGAAACTTTGTTTCCGTATAACTTAATATTGATTCAAAAAACCCTTACATTTTATCTAATGTTTCAAAGAACATTTTCAAAAACTTTTTGTCCGAAATATAATTTTTAATTATTTTGACTAGCGAGGTACTATTATAAGTTTCCCAGAAACACCAATGACTTGTTTGCTAACTTATTTATTAACATTGTTCTACCATCTGACTGCGAATAAATTATTTATAAATATCAACCTTTAATTATCAATTTGTGAATTTATTTTTTTATAAATATCCACAATATCAGTTAACAACCAAAGTGTTTTATCATGTCATACTCTTTAATAACCCATAATTGCGATAGCGTAAATTTTTAAAACCTTCCCAAAGACTACATCTTTACAAATACATGTATTTGTAAAGATGTAGTCTTTGGGAAGGTTTAAAAAATTGTTGCAAATGACGCCTTCCTGGCTGCCAAAAAGCAAATAATGGTTTTATTTTATTATTAACATTAATGCATTGATGTTAATATTAAAATAAAACCATTATTTGCTTTTTGGCAGCTAGGAAGGCGTCATTTGCAGCACCTACTCCCAAATAAAGTTAAGACTCTCATTTAATCAACTATCTCGTCTTCCATGACCCAATTATTCTTTAGCATAGTATCCAATTTGCCCATTTAAATGATTGTTAAATAGGTCGTTCAATCACATAATCATTTTCCAGTTGGATTTTAAAGACAAGCTTTTTTTTGTCTTTTACTTTAATATCGCTTTTAATTTGTCAAACATTGAGAAGTAACTTTTCTTACATTTTATTTTTAATAAAACTATGCTTCCGAAAAGTAGCAGTTATAGATTGCTGCTTTTTTCTATGCTTGTTGCCGGTCTTTAACCGCATGTAGATTTTCAGTCATATTTTTTTCTAAGGTGAGTCATATATTCACAAACTTAGCTCTCTATATTGAATAATCTTCTTTTGTTATCAAATCAACATCTTATTCAATTAATATTGCAGGTTTTACCCTCAAATTAACGTTTGGTGTCAATATTTGATTATCAAACAGATAACCTTGGTGTCAATGAGGTCTATTGTTTATAAAATCAACAATATCAACAATACTTCTTCCAATTTAAAATTAGTTAAAACTAAGCATAACCTTACCACTTGTTTTTGATTAGCTTTTTTTATTATCCAAAGTAGCCTTTTAAATTAACCTCCCGCCGAGGCAATCTTAATAAATTATCTCTATTTTGTTGCTTGCGTAAATATTATTTTCCGAGATTTTAGATTAAATAACCATTTGCTTGTTGCTGCATTGTTTTAGCATTATCACTGATCATCATCTGGGGTAGATCTTTTATTACATTAAACTCTTTTAAAATTATCTAAGTTCGTTTTGCTGATAGAACATGAAAATATTCTGTCAGCAAAAAAAAATTTTAGAAGATGTTTACGATAGACAACTC